TGCTCAGTGAAGGGCTTTTCTTCCTTTTTTACACAGTTCTCTTTGGGAACAGTTGCAAGAAGGCATGTGTACTAGGCTGGGTTCTTTAGCTGCACAGAACCTAGAAGATATATGTCTGTTGTAAAAGGAGATTTATTAGGTTGGCTTACACAGACTGCATAGCTCAACAACGGCTGTCTGTGTGCTGGAGAGGCTGAGAACACCATAGCTGCTCAGTCCATGGTGCTGAAGGCCTGGAAGATTCCTGGAGAGTTCAATTGAAAGACTAAAGAAGCTGCAATTCAATGTCAGTGGAGGACAGCTGCACCAGCAACAAGTGGAATAAACACAACAGACTCCCCAGGAAGAGTAAAGGTAGGTAGGCAATGGTGCCTTTCACTCTAGAACTGCACCACCCATCGGAAGGTGCTGCGCACTCTGAGGGAAGAGCTTGTCTTTGGCTAATCCTTTCCGGGAACTCCCTCACTGGCTCCCTAGAGATGGGTCTCTTCAGAGATTTCAGATCTTGTCAGGGTGATAAGATTGACCGTCACAGCAGGTACAGAGGGCTGTTTATGGGATCTTTTTTTCTGGTGTTAGCATGGTGTGTCTTACACTTCACTTCACTCTCAACATGTATCAGCATATTTCAGGTGAGTTTGTTATAGACAGCAGGTAAAGGGGCCTTTAAATATATGATCCTATGATCTCTTTTATTTAAAAAAATACCTTATTTTTATTTTATGTGTATGAGTATATTGCTTGCATATATGTAAGTGCACCCATGTTGTCGTGCAATGCCTGCAGAGGTCAGAAGAGGGCATTGGATCCCCTGGAACTGGAGTTATGGACAGTTGTTAGCTGCCATGTGGGTACTGGGAATTGAACCAGGGTCCTCTGCAGGAGCAACCAGTGCTCTTAACCACTGAGCAATCTTGCCAGCCCTCTTTCATGTATTGTTCATATTTAAGGAAGTGTTGGTATTGTTGGAGTAAAAGCTACCAATTTACTAAGTTTGTATTAATTTTATATTTAGTTTTTAAGGTTTTCTCCTCTGCCTGCTTTCTTTAGTTTTAAGTGTCATATTATCTCATTTTTATTTTTATTTTACCATATCATTGTTACTCTTTCAAAAATCCCATTGGTTGTCCTAGGGTTTACAGTGCATATTTAAAATTTATCAATGTTCTGCCCCCAGCAACAAACTCTTCATCCTCCAAGGCCTTTTAAAGAAAGCCCCAGAATACCCAGCATTGTGGCTCATACCTTTAATCAATCCCAGTACTCGGGAGACAGAGGCAGGTGGATTTCTGTGGAATCAAGGACAGCCTGTTCTACATAGGGATTTCTAGGCCAGTTGGGACTACAGGGTGCATTCTCTATACAAAGCCAACTCCACGGAGGACGTGGGGAAAATTCCAGAGCCTGAGAACACCAATGGGTCTATCTCAAACCGGAGCGATGGGCACAGGCCAGGGGTCTGTAACCAGCCACTAGCATTCAGGTCTGGTTGTTCCTGCCTTTGTTTGTTTGCTGTTTGCCAATGTTGGAGATCAAACCTAGGGACCTGGCACGTACTAAGTAAGCGCTCTACCACTGGGCTACACCCTAAGCCCTCTAGTTTTTTCTGAGTGCTTGCCTAGCATGCACAAGGCTCTGGATCTATCCCCAGCACCACACAAAATTGGGTGTGGTGGTATACAGCATTTGGGTGGTATAATCCCAGCATTTGGGAGGTGGAGGCAGGAGCATCATGAGTTCAAGATCATCCTTGGTTACATAGTGAGTTTGATGCAAGCCTGGGCTATATGAGACCCTGCGTCAAAGAGAGAGCGATGAAGGGGAAGAGGAAGAGGAAGGGAGGGAGGGAGGAAGAGAGGGAGGGAGGAAGAGAGGGAGGGAGGGAGGAAGAGAGAGAGGGAGGGAAGAAGAGAGGGAGGGAGGGAGAGAGGGAGGGAAGAAGAGAGAGGGAGGGAGGAAGAGAGGGAGGCAGGGAGGAAGAGAGGAAGGAAGGAAAGAAGGAAGGAAGGAAGGAAGGAAGGAAGGAAGGAAGGAAGGAAGGAAGGAAGGAAGCCCCAGATCCTGCTTCTCCCTCAGAATGTAACTAACTTGTACTTTGGCTTCTGAACAAAAAAGCCTTTGTCACTCTGCCATCTGTGTGTACTTTTTCAATTCTTTGAACAAGATACCAAAAACCTGGGATACAACTGATCCAGACAATGACCACTGGTAACAGAGGTATCATCAGGACCTCAAGACAGCCAGACAGCACCCTGGAAGCATGCGTATTAGTCATATAACTAATATATGCTAATATATAATTAACATATGTTAATATATTAAAACTACATCTTTGGGGTGACCAGATGGTTCAGTGTGTGAAGTTGTCCTCTGACATTTATATACCCACACACATCACAACCACACAATAACAATAAAATTTATAAAATAAAAATCTTTTTAATGGAAGTTTTCACAATAAAGCATTAAATAGAGAATACTTGGGGAATAAAGGAGTGAGTGTCACACTGTCTGTGCAACAAAAGCAGGAAGGTAACTCCCCAGCTGGGGAGAGATTAGTTGGTACCTTGAGACTGTGTGGAAGAATGAGGAGAGGCTGCCAAGCCTGCAAAGGTTGAAAACATCGCACTTAACATCATGGAACTTGAAAGGGTCTGAGGCACAAAGCAAGAGTCTGACTGTGGGAAGACAGGTGTGGCATTTCCCATGACTGGTTTGTTCATAGGAGGTGTGAATTGATTTTCTCTTAATAGAGGAGTGAGGGAGGAAGGGCAGAAATTTTATTTTTGCTGTTTTCCCTTTTGTGACTTTTAACCCTTTATTCTGTGCATTTATTTCTTTTTAAAACAAAACAAAAACATTTTATTATTGGGGCTGGAGAGATGGCTCAGCAGTTAAGAGCACTGGCTGCTCTTGCAGAGGATCAGGGTTCAGTTCCCAGCACCCACATGGTGGCTAACAACTATCTGTAACTCCAGTTCCAGGGGATTTGATACCCTCTTCTGACCTTTGAGGGTATTGCACAACACAGGTGCACTTAACATACATGCAGGCAATACACTCATACACATAAAATAATAAGATATTAAAAAACATTTATTTTTATTTTTAATTATGTGTAGGTGTATGTGGGGGGGTATGTACCCATTAGTGTAGGTGCTTGTGGAAGCAGATGCCAGAAGCATTAGATTCCCTGGAGCTGTCACAGGTGGTTGTGAGCTGCCCAATGTGAGTGCTGGGAACCAAACTCAGGTGCTCTGCAGAGCAGTACACACTTTTAATCGCTGAGCAGTCTCTCCAGTGCCCATGCATTGATTTCTACTACATTACATAAGATAAAATAGGAAAACAGGAAGGATGAGATGCACTCCCTGCAGGCTCCTCCTGTTTGTCCTGTCTTCAGGCTTTCTCATCAAGATCTCTCAGACTCCTTCCCTCCTGTCCCAACTCGCTCCTCTCCTTCATCTACCCCAGGATTGCCCCCTCCCCATTTCTCTCATTGCTCCCATCCTCACTTGCCCTCACAGGTTATGTAAAATTCCCTAGCCATACATGAATGAGATGGGCAAGAAAGCAGAAAGAGGCCTAGCCTGCATAAGCATGAAGACTTGAGTGTGAATCCCCAGCACCCACATAAAAAGTCTGGGTGTGGCCACACACACTTGTAATCACAGAGCTATTGCAGGCAGAGATAGGAGGATCTCTGGGGCTTGCTGGCTGCCAGCCCCAGCTCCAAGTTCAGTGAGAGACCCTGAAGGGATCAAAGAGGAGAGTGATAGAGCAGAACACCCAGTGTCCTCCTCTGGCTTCCACACATGCACACATGGTCACACACACACACACACACACACACACACACACACACATGGCAAAAAAAAAAAAAAAAAAAAAAAAAGAATCGACCAGAGAGTTCTGGAAAAGAAGCAGGTATCTTCTATTCCTAGCAATTAGTTTGCTGACCTTTGCTGTCCCTGAAGTACATTTCCAGTGGGCCACCTTGAAACCTATGGAGCCTGGCTAGGGCAGCACTTCTTGGCTTCCCAAAGAGAGCAGTCTGAGGGTTGAGTATGGAGAAAAAAGGCTCAGAGAGAGTTCACACTACTCGCCTTCATTCTCCTCCACCCTGGACCGACCCCACTACAGACCGTGAATGAGAACCTCAGAGGTGCTTGGATTGTGTAAAGTCTCCCCTTGGACAGAATCATGGCTCTGGATTCCTATCACCTGGTAGCTACATCACTGTAGACCACACTGGGTCTGGGTCCCTGCAATCTGATGTGCTCTTGAGCCTGGATGAGCTTATCACTATCACCTCAAGTTACTGTACATTAAGTCATGACAAGGAAAGTTGTCCCCTGTCATGGGGAAGGAGTCTGTTTCCCAAGCAGACTCCTGTTTTAATTGTGTGTGTGTGTGTGTGTGTGTGTGTGTGTGTGTGTGTGTGTGTTGCATGTGTGGTGAATGTACTTGTTAGTGAGGAAATGTGCATGTGTGTGTAGGTATACTTGTGTGGAGGCTGGGCTGGAGCAGAGCATGGAATGTCTTTCCTTGATTGATCTGTACCTTCAGTTTTTGAGAGAGGGTTTTTCACCATTGATTTAGCTAGTCTGGCTTGCCTGTGAGCTTTTGCGCCCTTGTCCAGCATTGGGGTTATAGGTTTGTGCTGCCATGTCTGGCTTTTACATGGATGCTGGTGATCCAAACACAAGTCTTCATATTTGTATGACAGACACTTTACCCTCTGGGTCATCTCCTCAGCCCCAGACTCCTGTTAACCTCAATGCTGTTTTTCTCCAAACATGAGGCTCAGAGTCAATAAGAAATCAATCAGAAAACCACTCACATTTTGACATTTCATTCTTTCAAAAAAAGTATTTACTGAGCACTCACTCCATCAGGAACAGTACAAAGCCACAGGACTGTTTGAAGTAGGGTGGTCTCCCTGCTGGGTTCTCAACCTGCTCACAGAAGACATGTAGCTAAAATCCTAGGGTGTTCGGGCATCTGTGACCTAAAAGAAGAAAAGGGGTGGAGGCTCTGAGGGGTGTCAGCTGTGGGAAACCAGTGGAAAGTTCCAGACCTTGCTGCAGAGCAGGGCTTCTATAGCAGGATATGGATGGGGTTTGAATCCTACTATCTGTACACACTATCCATGTGTCTACAAGAAGATCACATCAGCTGTGTCACAGTTCCTTGGGTCTGAAAATGAGCATAAGATTTACCTCAGACTGCTGCAGGGGTCAGGTAAACTGTCCTGACTGTGACCTGTTCACAACCAGGATCAGTGATGACTGATCAGTGACTGAGTGTGGTCCTGGGAGGCGGTGTCAGATGGAGCCTCCCAGGTGAAAGATCCTGAGCATCCTATGTCCAGGTCTGCAGAGCCTTGCTACTTGTCTTTAACTTATGATGTGTAGCTCTCACCTGACACATGGAAGGCCTCAGAGTGCCATTGAAGGCAACAGCCACAAGAACATTTCTAGCATGAAGTGAAGTGTTGGTATTTAGGCACTGAACCTGTGCTGCTGTTAGAGTTGCAGCCCTGCCTGGAATTCCTCTACTACCCCCACAGAAACACTGCATAAAGTGTGACCTCTCCGGAAGTCTGCCTGCCATATGATCCTGGAAACAAGATTTCATAGCTATTTGTCATATCCTCATCCTTTTCCTATCACTGTGTTGTTTTGGCTGAGGTAGAATCCTTGAGGAAGTGGATGGACCCTCTGTCCCTGCATCTGCTGTCCTTCCTAGGGACACCAACCACCAGCTCCTTTCACGATCTGAATGCTTGGATGCTGTGGGTCTGTTGTGTTAGGAGTAGGGGTGGTACACAGCTCCATTCAGAAGATTTCCTGGAGAGGAGATGGGATGCTGACAAAACAAAAGGGAGAGTCAGGACCTTTGCTACTCCAAGGCAGAATGGCAGAGGTTGGAAAATCAATGGGCATTTTCCTATCCAAGGCATCAGTTAGAGAGAGCAAATTGAGAGAAGTCATTGTTTGCACAGAGTGATCCATGTCAGAGAACCTGGAGGTACTGATCAACGAGAGTCTGGCCAGTCCCAGCAAGGCTGTACACATGCACCGTGCTGGCTGGTTCCAGGCTCATGCTGAGATGGAACTGGTCCTTCTTGTTATTCCAAAAGATGCAGTGATGCAGTGTACATGGCCTCCTATCTTGGACAAAGTGTAGGCTGCAGTGAGGCCAGTGGATTATTGTGAGGTCAATCCTACAAGGTCCCCTGCATTTCAAGCATTGAACCTCATCCTTCCCATACACCTCAAGCAGGTGGATTGGCTATCCTGATCTGCATTTCCGAGTTGGACTGTATTCTGTCCATCAGCCTCACTGACCTGTGGTCTAAATAGCAGCCAGGCATCTGCAGCTTCCAACAGCCCTTGGCCTTGGTCTCAGGCAAGTATGCTTCCACATAGACACACCCCATCCTCCATCCCCTCTCCCATCCCCCTACCCTCCTTGTCCATTTGCCTGGGTATGTTCCTCTCTACCCTCAGTACATCCCTCGTAGCAGGGGTAGGGGGACATGAATATTTGTATCCTTGGTTCTTCTGAATGATGTTGTGAAGATGCAGCTCCTGATGAGGATGAGGCTGTCCGGTCAGTGTACCTTGGCCATGGCTAGCCTGCAAGCCTCTCTGGTTGGCCACAAAGATGTCCTCTAAGGCCATAAGGCATTTTGTGGCACACACAAAGGAACCACTTGCTACTGTTGGCTGTCCAAAGTGAGTCCCAGGACTTCTTGGTGATATCCATGGGGGTTCTGCTGGGTAGAAAGAGCAGAGGGAGGCTCAGGATCCCATTGACCCCTGTGTGATGCCTGCTCTCGTGCTCTGAGGCTGAGCTGCTGGGGCTGGCTGTCCACAGAGGCATAGGCTTGGACACCTAGCTTGGAGGGTTCTAACCTGAGCTGGCTCAGGTCCAGGAAGAGGTCTGGACATTTCTGATCTTGAGGGCTGACAGGAGAGGGCAGACTACAGACATCTACTCCATTAGGGGTGCTGCTTGCCTTTTTCTGCTGCACAGCATCAGGAACCCAAACCTGAGACTGCTGGAAGAGCCCACTGCCTGTGTTCTGCTTTAGAGACTGGTCATCTGGATAGATCTGCAGGGCTGCCACATGTGCCACATAGCCTGCCAGCATGGGCCCCGAATCAAGGGTGCTTCCCCCATGACTTAGCTGTAAGGGGCCTTGAGAACACGTAAGGTTACCAGGTGACCCAGGTTCCTTCTGAGAGCTGGGCCAGGTAGTGGGGTTTGGAGCTTTGCTTTTCCTGGAAATGCCCGTTGTTATGGTAGCTGCAGAGGACAGGCCTTCAGGGAGGTCTTGTGTTCCTTCCTCCAGAGAGAGGTCTTTAGATGGGGTGCCAATACCCCTCACAGGCTCCCTTTGGACTTTGCTTTCTCTAGCAAGCAGATCTTTGGTACCTGAGTGTGCCCATGGCTCCTTTCTGCTGGGTGCCAAGCACACTGTGGCCTTGCCCTTATTTAAGACTTTGTTCTCCCTGCCTTCCAGGTTCTCTGCTGGGCCTCTGTGGACTCTGTTGGTGCCAGGTGGATCACTGGGCTCCCCAGAGGCAGGGGTGGGAACAGGTGGGGTACGGCGGAGCCAGTTGACAATGCCCATGGTGATGGCAAGCTCTGTGTCACACAACTTTAGCAAACACTCCTTGCCCTTCCAGGAACTCTGTAGGAAGCCCTGGCTGAGCAAGTCAGGGCCTGGGGCTGGGGCCAGGTTCTCCTCAGCTCCCACATGGAAGCTGCACATAGACAGTGGGGTCCCCAGGGCAGGCCCTGATAGACTCTCAGACACACATAGGTCATCATCCAGACAGGGGCCAACAGGGGCCTCACTGGGGTCATAGAAGAGCTCATAGAGAGCATCACCACTGTAACTGTCCCTGGGGAAGGCAGCTGCAGGTGTGCCTGGGCTGACAGCTTCCTTTTTATCCTCCTCAAGGCCAGGTGAGAAGGAATCATAGTAACCTTCATCACTTGTGGACACAGATTCCGGCTGTTCACTTTTGGGAGTACCTGTGTCTATGGAGCTGGCTTTGGAGCCACTGGGAGGACCCTTGCAAGGGAACAGAGGAAGCTCAGCCAGTCCAGCTGTGTCTAACCTAGGCTGGTCAGTGTCTGTCCCCTGGGAGCTTGCCAGCCATGGACCCAGCAAGGCACGCTGCTGTTGCCTCACAGAACGGTTCACACTGTCCCAGAACTTAGTAAAGTCTGACACCTCATTCTGGGCAGGTGATGCCAGTTGCTCCACACTACCCTGGGAGGGGCCTAGGGGAGTCTTGCTTTCCAGGGCCTGGGGTGAACAAGCTGGGCTTTCTGGGCCTTCACTCAGCTCCAAGCATGGTGCTGAGCTCCCATCTGCAAAGATCTCCCCACAGCCTGTGAGCGAATCAAAGCTCTTGAGTGAGGCCACATCCTCACACAAGGAACTACAAAGGTCAAAGGATGAGTCAGGCAGAAACTCACTGTCAGACAGGTCCTGGCACAGGCTATCTAGCCCTAGTCCCTCACCCATGGAGAGGAAGGCTTTGCCTTGAGCTGCAGCACTCAATGGGACCCCAGGCGATGACAGGCTCTTTCCCTTAGCTGCCAGTGAGGCCAAGTTCTCTGTCTTGCTTCTGCGGATGTGGAATAGGTTTCGGAAGCACTTCTTGGACTTCTTCAGGGAAATCCTTTTCCTTGGGATGCTCTTGGCCACAGCTGGCACAAAGGGCATCTGGGGTACAAAGTGGCGGTAGTCAATCATACGTTGACTTCCGGGGGGCTCTGGGAAGCTCACACTGCCCACCATCTGCCCTGTAGTGGCAGCTGTTTTTGCAGCCCCTGGAACACTGTCATGAGTCTTGCTCTTCCGCACCAACTTGAAGGTGGGTCCACAGAGAGGTGCAGGACCCCCTTCAGGATCAGACTGTATCTCCTTGTTGGGGCACCTATCATACCCTTGGGTGCAGGGACTGGTCTGGGAGCCCTTTTCACCACAGGGTTTCTGCTGTCCTCCCTGTGAGAGTGGCCAGGGGCCTGCATCTTCCCTGTCTGGAGCAGGGGCTGCTGGGTCTGTGGGTTTCTCATGGGAAATCTGCAGACTGGATTTGATGAAGGTCTTTCCTCTCCTCAGTTCCATGCTGCCAGTGTTCTGGTCACTGTGGAGGAAAGCAGGAGGCACTTAGTATCTGTGGTGGTTAATTCTTACTGTCAGTTTGACTGGATTTAGAATCACCATGGAAACATGCCTCTGTATACGTCTGTAGGGCATTATCTAGATTAGGTGAATTGAGATAGAAAGACCCACCCTAAATGTAGACAGCACCATGCCATGGGTTGAGGTCCCAGACTAAACAGAAAAAGAGAAAACAAACTGAGCAGTAGCATTCATCTCTATCTGCTTCCTAACTGTGGATGTAATGTGACCAGCTGCCTCATGCTCCTGCCACCATGCCTTCCCCAGCATGATCATCTGTAGCCCTTCAAACTGTGAGCCAAAAGAAATCCTTCCTTCCTCAAGTTACTTTTGTCAGGTATTTTGTCACTGTTGTAAGGAAAGTAATTGATACAATATCTAAGAGTGGAAAGCCTGCAGCTTCTGAAAGACTCCTGCCACCCTTGCTCAAACAGTTCTCTCACTGCAGAGTCTCAGTCCCATTGGGTTTTCCGTGGTGTGGAAGAGAGAGCGAGATGGGATGACCCCACTGCACCACCCTGCTCTACTTTTATAGATAGCTGAGGTCACAAAACAGTTAAGTCCCATGCCTAGGAGCCCACATGACTAGGACCTGGAGAAGGCTGCATCTGTGGACTTTCAATTCCCCCAGCACTCTAAGCTTATCTGTCCTATTCAGACTCCTATTTTCAGGCTTTAGAATTCAGCAATAGCACTGTCTGTTGTGTAGCCATTTCTTCCCATTTGAAACATTTTTCTGGAGGGAGTCTCTTTAAGCCACAGGAATTTAAAAAAAAAAAAAAGGAAAAAAAAAAAAAAAAAAACCTAAAAAAATTCCCAAAATTAACAAAAATTCAAAAGAACCTCCCCAAGAATAATATAAGCAACAACATTCAAATTC